AATTAATTAAATACTTTTCTCTTTAATATACATTTCTTCAAGTATCATCTCCCAGCAAAGAAGTACTTACTGTTATTTGCAAGAGTAAGTCCAATAAATGAGCAAATAGGGCGAATTATCTCAGGTTTCATGCAATTTATTAGCCACTCATTAGCATGTGGAAAAAGTGAACAGCAAAACATTTGATTCTCATCTGAAAGGAGATGAAAGTCCATCGTTTTAAATTTGACATTTGGAAAATACTAGTTTTGACTTGGCTTATCTTTATATTTAAATATTTAAGATAATTACCATTTTGAGGATTGTTGACACAGACACACAGAGTACTACATACTGAAGACCACAACTGATACTTCTCAAAAACATTTTTATCTGACAAATCAAACTCATAGTTTGAAAAAACTGTCCTATTAGGTTAAAAAGGAAAGAAAGTAAGTCAATATAAACACATTAAGGTCTTAAATAATGAGTATTAACAACAAGATATTTATATTTGCTTACCTGAACAACTGTGACAAAACTGTAATACAACTCGTTTCTCTCACAAGTGTTTGTCCACTTCCTTAAAAAAGCCATATATTATGTGAATACGAGTTAGCAATAATTTTGCAGGAATGTAAAGCAACATTTAAGTAGTATTTTAATAAACAATTATCTTTTAAAAACCACTTAGAAGTATTATAAAGCATAACATAATTACTGAGATAAAAATTTGTATTCAAGATTATTCTGGAAATATGCTATGCTTAGAGCCTGACAACATTCAAATTTTCTCTAAAAATTATGAAACAATTATTTTGCATTATGGTTTTCTCTTACAATACCAAAATATGCTCTAAAATAGAAAAAATAAATACAATATTTTCTAGTTTTTCCAAAATACCAAAAGTAAAAATCTAGAAGCAATTAAACGCCTAACAAGTTAACTAAATAAAGAAACATTAAAAAATAACTTTATCCAGCTGGGGATTTAGCTTAGTGGTTCCAGCACCTGTCTTACAAGCACAAGGTCCCAAGTTCAATCCCCAGTACCAAAATAAATAAATAACTTTATCCATTTATTGGTTGATGGGCATTTGGGCTGTTTCCAATATTTAGTGAGGAATGGATAAAGATGTGTGTTTTTTATACAATGGAGTACTACTCTGCCACAAAGAAGGATAAGCTTGAGACATTTCTAGCTAAATGGATACACCTTGAGACCATACTCTTAAGTGAAATAAACTGGATACATTTTTAAATACCACACTGTTTCTCTGGTGTGAGAAACTAAAAGTGTAAATAAGGACCAAAATGTATAATAGATATTGGGAAATGGGAAGAAAATGTTCAAATGGGAAGGGGAAAAAAGGAAGGGGGAGGGAGAAAGGAAGGAAGGGACAAGAAGAAAAAAGAGAATAGAAGGAAAAAGTAGAAATAAAGCTTTTGTAAATAAGGAGAGGAAGAGGGGTTGAAGAAAGGGGAGGGAAATAGGAAAAAAGAAGAAGCAAGATATATCACGTACAGGTACAAAATCCCTATGACGAACGTTATCTTTATGTATATCTAAAATGTATCACTAAAAAAACCCCACGTTATCCTGGGCAGGATGTATATGAGAACATTCTATATTGACGATTTTTCTGTAAATCTAAAATTATCTCAAATTCTGAAAGTAAATCACTTTACTATTTTTTTTTTTGGTACCAGGGATTGAACTCACAACCTTGCAGTTGCAAGACAGGCTTAGTGCCACTGAGCTAAATCCCTGGCCCCACTTTACTATTTTTTTCCCACTTTACTATTTTTTGAAATAAATAATAAATGATTAAATGCATGTTACTAATTTCTTTTCTAAAAACAGTATTTCTAAGTTAATGAGATTTGAAAAAAAAAATAATATAAGGACTAGAAAAAAAGATTAATAATGAATATTCTAATTTATTATTTAAAATGTTTTAAACATTCATAGGAAAATGTACTTACGATTATTTGAAACCAGAACCAAAATAACATAGACAGACATTCTTTTCAAATTTGTGTTTGAATCATCATTAGATAAGAAGAAAGTTAATTCTTCAAATAACTCTGAAGTACACAAACTTTGCTGACAGTAAACTGAAATATAAAATGTAATTTTAATTTCAAAGCATTAGCACAAACCGATTTTAAAATATGCTGAATAAAATACAAAGTTGCCAAACTAAACATAGTTCTCAATCAAATCTCATTTAATTGACACATACGGGAAATGCAACAAAATTTCTAATGAACTGATATGCGCTTAAGTGGCAGATCAAAGGTGTCTTAATCAAAAAGTGCTTGATCGAGGGGCTGGGGATTTAGCTAAGTGGTGCCACGCCTGCCTCGGTAAGCATAAGGTCCTGAGTTTGATCCCCGGTACCAAAAATAAATAAATAAATAAAAAGTACTTGATCTAGGCTTCAAAACATGTATTACAATTCCCTAGAATTTCCAACAATAAAAAAAATCAGACACAAAATTTCAAAAGGATGAGTAACAAAACACAGCAAGAAAAAAAAAATTCAGAAGCCTGCTTTGGAAAACAGAGGAACAAACAATATTTATGCTATTTTTGACTTTTTTTTTTTTTTTTAAGCAATAATTGTTTTTCAGTTAAGTATGGTGACACACGCCTGTAATACCAGCTACCTGGCAGGCTGAGGCAGAAAGACTGCCTCTAAGACTGCAAGTTTAAGGCATTTCTGGGCATCACAGTGAGACCCTGAAA